TGCTATTATGTTACTATTATATTACTTATATTAACAAACCTTCTGTTATTTTACTGTTATTCTGCTATTATGTTGCTATTATTTGACAAATATAGGATAGAATAATAGCAGATTTTTTTCTATTATTTATCTATTATTTATTCTTTATTCATTTGTTCAACCTGTGTTTGTAATTAAAGCTTCTTTATTAAGTTTAAGCTAAATGTTTGTTTTTGTTTATAAAGGTATAGAAGAAAGTCTAAGAGGATATAAGGATTTTATAGTTACTTTGAGTGCAGTTTTTTGTATTATCTAAGTAAAATGAGGTAAGGTATTTAAGTAAAAAAAATAAGCCCAGATGTAGTTAATAGTACTATAGTGTCTACTATTGTGCCAGGTATAAGAAGAAGTATTTATATGATCTGCCAAGTTGTAGATATTATTGTATTGTAAAAATTGCAGTAATTTGTATTTGATAAATAAAAAGATAAAGTTGTTAGATAGCACATTAAAGTTACCTAGTATTATAGGTAAAATGTTTTAGTTAGTTGCTTATTAAATCTATTAAATAATAGTATTTTGTATTTAAAGTCTAAATTATGAATTTTTATATAATAAATATATAGAAATAATTCAGAATTTGTAATTATGTTTAAAGAAAAGATTAATAACAATAGCATAACTAGAAAAAATAAGAATATTGTATATATAAGATGTAAGTTGTTTTTGAATTACAAGTGCAGTTTCTGTTTTGAAACTGTTAGTACAAGACCAAAAATAGAAGTAGTGTTTTGAGTTGTAAAGTTTAGTAATAGCATTGTCTTTTGCTATTTTAGTTTTTATAATACTAATAATATTTAAAAATTAAAAGATATAATAATCTTTTTAAACTTGTTATTTGAGGTTTTTATTGTATTTTTGAACATTGTAAGTACAGATTGTAAGGTTTAGAAGTAAGGTATTAGAGGTCTTGAGTTGTTTTAAATTATTAGAAATAGGAGCTAAAGGTGCTAGTATAGTAAAAACAGATATTGATATATTTGATTTTAGTTAGATATTTGAAAAATGCCAAATAGTTTGAACTAGTATAATAAAGTAATTAGATAATAGTTTAGGTTCAGATGAAAAGTAAACATAGGCTTTACTATGATTATATTTAATAAAGATAGTTAATTCATAATTTGCATGTAGATCAGTGAACTTTAATATTAAAGTGCAGGAATAATTAACTTAAAGGTTTTGAACATGTATTAGAATCTACTAAAGTTCACTAGACATTTTTTTTTTTTACATGCCCAAACATAAAGAATATACAATTTTATTACTTTTTCACAGTATTTGGAATGATAGCTTGCATTTTGGGCCTTTTTGCCATAATTGGTAGCTTCTCTGGCCTATTGATAAAGCAAATGAAATAATTCCGCTATACCCTATTTGATTGTATTTCAAAACATTAGTCATATTAAAAGCATGTGAATTTATTATTGAAGTAGTTCAATCTAATTCTGCTTTTGGTCTATGCCTCAGATATATTTGTAAATGTGGTGAGATTCAAAGTGATATATGCAAACTAGCAACAGTAGCTATTTCTTCTGTATATCATCAATTTTTCAAAACCAAAACAAAATTTTCAGGTTCAGAAGTTCTAGGATTTGATAAAACAATTATTACAGATGAATTATTGTCAGATTTATCCTTTTGCCCTTATAATTTTCAACTTAAAATCTTTCGAATTTGGATAGTAAGAATTGGCTCTAATGAAATTAATAAAATTACAACTAATTTAGCAAGCCCTGGATTTAAATCAACCTTTATATATCAATATAATAAAAGTCGAGCTTTGTTTTTTCAAGAAATTGATAAAAATCACTGCAGAGTAACAATTTACTACAAATACAATGCATGTATAGACTTTATTAAACAAAATCTGAATTTAGTTTGGTCAAAAATTGGAATTCTACAGCAATATAATGGAAATCAACTTTTTGGATTAACTAATCAATATACAAAAACCTTATACAAGTAGCTCAAATCCCATATTGTACCTTGAATAAATGAAATAACAAAGAAATAATGACTAACATTTACAATTACCACCTTAAACATTGTATAATAGTGAATATAAATTAGTATCAATTTTTTTGCAATTGGTTAGAACAACCAAATACAATTATTGAATTAAGGTCGGCTCTGCAGCTAATCTATCCAATATAATATGAAATTAAAGACTGGGAATTTCGAGCCTGGAAAGCAATGCTAAAAAATGTTGGTTGTTCTGATATTATCCTATATAAAAAAGATCAATTAAAAGTAAGTAGCTGTTTTAATAAATTTTACAATTTATATATATACTTAATTGATGTGAATCGATTTCTATAGTTCGAGTTTTGGTCTTGGTCCATTATTTTGGATAGTGATAGAAATTCTTTGTCTACATTATATGATCTTGGATTTGTTACATCAGCTCCCTTATACTCTTTTATGAATGCTTTTTGGAATTCTTTTTACGATTCTTTGGAAATTAATAAATGCAGCATAGATGGGTGTCGACAGGTATTATCTATAATTGCTAATGATTTCAACTATAAAGTTATTAAAAAAAACTTAGACGTAAGTAACCTGTTTGAACTTATTACTACCATACCAATTTCTACTTCTCTTTTTAAGCTTACTATTTTTTTTTAGATTTTGAATGATTTAATTTGTGCTGCATGAAAGCATGCTCGCATTTATGGGCCCGGAAAATTAGTTACTAACAAACCTTAATTAGACATGAAAAAATGTTGTCAGAAAAAAATACACAATTACAATCTTTTTTAATGAACAAAGCTAATATCATAATAAGCTCATATAAAATTGACCCTATTACAAATGAACCAGTATATTACCTGAAAAATTTAAAAGATGTACTATGGAACAAATTTTATGAAAAATACCTAAATGGAATGCACTGTACCAGTTTTTACACTAGGTTGGAGGGAAATAAATACATATATTGAGAAGATTTGGGTAGATTTTTATTTTTATTTTTTTTAAGGTGACCTCTTTGGTCTTTTGACTTTTATTAATTACTTATCGGTATTGTGGTTCAATGAACCACTACAGGAGA